TGCTCTCTGCATATTGAGGCAGTGTCGATTGTTATGTCGTTTACTCATTTATACTTCATCATATCTGTTCTTTCCACTGTTCAAGCATTTTTTTTATTGTAATGGTTTCCAAATTATTCTTGTTCCACTTGGCATTCTTTCTGACATTATTTTGTAAAAAATTTTTCTTTAGATCATTGTTTTTATATAATTTATTTAATTTCTAGTTTAGTTTTGTTCTTCTGCCAAATTAAAAATGAAAGTTAGACTGTAGTTGCTTTAGAGTAGCAGCAAACACATGGAAAAGTCGCAGTATATACGTTTGAAAGAGAAAAAGCACTGGAAGGGAGGCGCTGCCAAAACATCCTTACGCCGCATCGAGCCGGACTTAGAACAGTACTTGATTTTCAGACTAGCAGCGGAATTCACATCGTAATTTCTCGCATTTTTGTTGTTTATAGAACCTTGGATGACCAACGAATCGCTGCGATGCTGCAGAATGAAGAGTTCATGCAACGTTTACGGGCTGATGCCGACTTCATGTCCGCATTGGAACGAGGTTTAGTTTCGCTGACTTCCTGTCTGTTTGCATTTTTTACGCCTGTTATGATTTAGATATGGCAAAAAAGAAGCACAAAAGTGAAAAACGCGCTGCCGCAAAAAACGGTAACGTTGATCGGTTAGTGGTTTTTAAAAAAATACTTGCATTTAGCCTACTTAAAACCACCGACTGATCCGGTTTCTTCAGTGATCGACGAAGGGCCACCCCTCGATGCTTCGCCTTTTCCGTATACTAAGCAACTGGAGTCTACTTCACCGACGACGGATTTTCGAGACAAACTTAAATACATGGGCAAAAGTAAGTGATTGAGGTTGAGGCGTGCTGAGGTTCCTATATAGCCAAAAACTGTTCTATAAACCACTTCATAAAAAGTCGTTTATGGCATGCTTTGTTCTTCTGATTTACGGCATCATTCACCGTTCACTTGCTTCATACACATTAAAGGATCTTTAAGCAAGCAATAACTCCAAGATATTATAAGTATTGGCAATGTTTGGATCCTACTGCTGCGTCATTTCTTTGGCAGGACTCATTCGTAGCTCCGGAAGAAGAAAAATGTCACTTAATGATAGTTGTGCATGTTTATTATCAGCAAATTATTGTTTATTGTTTGTTTATTATTTTTATTGTTTTGGTTTATTGCCGGTAGAAATAGGTATAGGCTATTTTTTTGTTGTATTCTATTTTTACTTGCGTTTTTTGCTCTGTAGCAATAAATTGGGAAGGAAGGATTCAGTATTAATGTAACGTTTATATATCGCATAATAATAATAATCATGCTCTTTGTTAAAAACCATTTTAATCCTTCAAAAATAATTGCCTCTGTATTTATCTCAACAACTTTCTGGGGTGTTACGAACGATGCCTATCCAAAATACCTAGGAATAACACTATACCACAGCCTTCTAAAGCAAGTACTAAAGATTAAGGCTTGGAACAACATGTTTCGCAACCTTGCATTAACGAGCTGGACATTTTGTAGCTTTATCGTACAGCAGCCCTTGTTATCATGTATAACATATACGAGTACTGTATCGTTAGTTACACCATAAGAATCAGCACAGGAACGTTTCATAGTATTCTGTTACCACGGCTACCGGTGTTGTTGAGCATACTCCCACCCGACATAAGAAGGCACGAAGGTGGCATGCTACAGTCTCGTAAATTCAACAACTAGTCAAACCTACTGGTTCATCAAGAACCAAGATATGAAAATCGTTCTACGTTTAGATTCATATTGCGTTATCTAATGACATCGTCTTTTGATGATTAATAGTAACGCAAAGCTGCCAGGCTTCCATTTGGCACAGAAAGAGTAGACGACTTTGAACAGAATCAGTCTGGCCAAGATCAGGTACCATCCGCACAAATGGAGGCACAAAGCGAACTCTACATGTGACCCCCATCAGACAGTCGACCTCTTAGTCTCAACCAATGAAAGCGAGTAAATTCGAAACAAAAATGATTGCACTACGTGCGCTGAAAATTATTCGGTCTCTGAGCTGCCGAAATTGGACCTGAACCTAGAGTTGCTGTCATCATGTGTAGAAAGAAGGTAGCATTCGTCCTACTGTGAGGGAAAGGGTTTCTGTTACAGTATGATGCACATTTCTACCTATTCGCCACCTTCTTTTGGGTAAGCAGGATAACACTACTTGTCAGTGAAGTTTTCTGAAAACCATCGTATGTCGCCATATATCTAATTCGACACTGGTTCTACATGAAGTTTGTCTTCTAATGCAGAATTGCGCTGTCGGGGTCAACTTTTCGAATCCTTTCGAATTTGTTTAATTGAATTTGAGATTTGCCCACGAAGATGAAACAATTTGGATTTGAAATACAGGTTTTGAAC